ACCCAAGCAACACAAAAAGGGGAAATAAAGGGGGAAAAAGGGGAAATAAAGCGGACGAAGGGGGAAATAAAGGGGAAATGTCGCTTTTTCGCCTTTACGTCGGTTATTTAGGGGAAATGTCGCTTTTTCCCCTTTACGTCGTGTATTTGGGGGAAATTTGTCGACAATTCTATGTAACGTACAGTATTTGAATGAACCGCTTGTGGAGCTTCATTTTTCGTAAACTTCGACGGATTAAGGCACCGCCTAATAAAAAAACAAAACTATTGTCATAAAAACAAATTACAAAATACGGAACCAGGCATTCGGTTCATACGCATATAGACTGACTTCGTTTGTTGTTTAGCTAAAGTGTTTCGACATGCTTGGGAGCCATCACAAAAAACTTACGTGATGCAGGTGAGTGACGTGCTCTCTGATTTTTATGTTCATTGTAATTAATTACATTGTTAGGCCAATACTAAGAGTTCTGTTGAAGTCAGTGAGAATGTTCGTAGACGTAGGGCCACTGTGAACTTGTCACGTTCCCTTGGCTGTCATAGATCCACTTATAACAGAAGGTGGAATAAAATGAGAGCTGCTTTCATGAAAAAATATGACTTTCTTTCGTTCAGTGAGTTTGCTAATGAAAGCACCTTAAAAGGTAACTGCGTTCAACAATGTTGTTTATTAAATTGATAGAAGTAAAGAGAGAAATCACTTGTAATGACAGTACTTCAACTATTACACCATCGACTAGCAACATCAATCAAGGACTTTCAGATAATAGTGGTATGTATACTAAGTTCATACGTGAATATATATCTTATAGGATCTCCTGAAGTGAACCTGTTCTCTCCAAAGTTCGTGAATCGCAAAGAAATGATGAACGACTTGATGATGTATCTAATGTCAAATACATCTCTGAGCATAAGGGATGCTGATCGGGTTCTGTATGGTCTAAGAGTTTTTATCCCTGACATTCCGAAAAGCATCAGAGGTGTCCTAAAGACGTGTCCAAGTGTTCAACCAAAGTTCATCGGCAGTGGGGTTTACTACCATCTAGGATTGAAAACCAATCTGCTAAGATACGTTGAACTTTGGTTGTGTACTAGTGATTTTGAATTTTTAAATTTATATATCAGTGTGGATGGACTTTCTATGTCTAGAAGCTCCAATCAACAGTTATGGCCTATACTAGGACGGATCGTTGCCCCTAGGTTTAGTGACGTGTTCATGATAGGGATCTACGGAGGCAATAGTAAGCCGGCAGAATTCAACGAGTTTTCTGCGGACACAATTTCTGAAATAAAAGAAATGACTGACGTGGGTCTTTTTAGTGTAAAGTTTAATAAATGTATAGCTATTAGGTTGGCGGCTGTTATATGTGACGCACCTGCTCGTTCTTCTGTTAGGTACACGGTAAATCACAACGGTAAGGCAGGTTGCGATAGGTGTACTGTACTTGGGAGACGGCTGGAGGGTAAGACGACCTTCCCAAATGGAGTACATACCTTAAGAACAGACGACACCTTCCGTCGTCAGTCTCAATCAATTCACCATCAAGGACATTCTATTATGGAAACGCTTTCGATTGATATGATTTTAACTTTTCCTCTAGATCCTATGCACATGGTGTACCTCGGTGTTACCAAAAAACTAGCTAATTTATGGATAGATTTAGCACGCCGAAGACTGCGCGACTTCAACTCATGTGCAATTAGGGACATAAATAATTTAATAACGGGTTGTGTGGCAAGTACTCCTTCTGACTTTCCCCGTAAATGCCGTACACTAGACTTTGTATCGGCATGGAAAGCTTCTGAATGTAGGTTGTTTCTTCTGTATTTAGGCCCGGTGATTCTTGAAAAAACATTGCCACAACCTTTTTATCTTAATTTCCGGCGTTTAGCGCTATCCATTTATCTGCTTGCACATCCGAAATTACATAAAAATGTTGTAGAAACCGCCAAATTAGATTTACTAAACTTCCTAAATGAATACGCATGGTGTTATGGGTGTGAAAACTTAGTTTACAATGTGCACATGGACCTTTAGATAGTTTTTCAGCCTTTCCATTCGAGTCTTATATGAGACAAATTAAGAATTCCGTGCGTGGTGGGTTTGCAGTAGCTAAGCAAGCGGCACAGCGTTATGCTGAGAGAATGTCCTTCAGGGATAGGCTTCAAATTAGTGGTTTAACAAATACTACCACAATAGGCGCTAATGATGTCTCCATGAAACAAGTAATTATGTTTAACAACAGCAGAATAAGTTCATATAAACCGGATAATGTAGTAGTAGTTAACGGCCAGCCCGGTTTAGTTACTGACATAAAGGATGATGGACTACTAAAATTTAGGACTTTCATTGACCCACGCAATTACTTTGAAGATCCTTTCCCATCTAGTGATATTGGAATCTTTATGTGCTCCGTAGTTAGCCATGAATACACATGGGTTTCAGTTAAGAACATTGATTGTAAATGTATAGCCATCAATTGTACCAATTACATAGTTGTAATCCCATTGTTGCATACTTTATTGTAAATGCATTTCGTTTCATTAGTGTTTAATTAGTGATGATAAACCATTTACTTACGTCTTATGTTCTTTTCAGCCCACTAACAAGAAATACGTTATTGTTGACGCCCTTAAAAAAAAACAACTTATGATAGCATCAAAAAAATGGATAGTTGGCAATGACCTTTGCGCTTTTCCGAATGAGATGGTCGATATACACCTTCAGAAGTGCGACAAACCTAATGACAATTGGTCACTTATGAAGTGTAAAGTTATTCATGAATTAGGTAAGCTACAATCATGGAAACTATAATTCACTATAGAATCTCTGCAGTCTGCAAAAGATCTGTTAGCTTCCCTGCAAATACTGCAATCTCACCTTGAAAACACTTCAACGGATGAAAACACTCTGCCGCATAACACTGAGAAGCCCAAGAGGTCTGTACAATAATCTTACTAACATTTCCTAGAGGTGTAATGAAACGTAAAGAAGATTTTCTTTACAATTCAGTAGACATGGATGTGGCTGAGATGCAGGCTGGGAATATCCGCGTACAATATCCCAAATTTCGTGTTTTCGACAAAGTGATATCTCCAATCGCCAAGTACGTTTAATTACTATTTACATATTCACTATGTAGTTCAACACAATTAGAGACATCACCATCGACATCGGAATGTAAGCATGTTGGTAGCGCTGTATTGGACCAGTAAGTGAACTGCATCATCTAGTGACCTTTTTCACCTGTGATAGGTTGTATGCTGTGGTGCTGAAGATGTCGTCAGCTATCAATGACTTGACTAAAACGATTAACAACATGTCGTCCGCCATTACGAACTTGAATGTTAATGTTAACCAATTGCTTTCAAAGTCTAATGAGCGCGAAAGACCGCATGAATTCGATTGCGGACTGTCAAGTCAGCAGTTCCCTTTGTCATCTGAAGAGGAACTACAGATGCTAGACACTGGTTTGTCGCAGAAAGAAACCAGGGACAGATTTGTAAGTCATTGACATGAATTTAATAATTTGTTACTATTACAGATGGCAATGGTCACTAGGTTATCAGGTGACGATCCAAAAACGTCCATGCGTTTTATTCTGTCGCATCTGCTGACACCGGAGGTTGCCAGTAAATTCACGTTACTTGGCACCTCTTCTAAACGAGCACTACATAAATGCACGTTTTACAGCTGCATACGAAGTAACCTATATCTATTACTTAAACTTCAGGTGCCTTAACTCATCGTTTTTTGTCATCCTCTGTAAATGAGAAAGACCTTGGTAAGCTATACGACATAGCGACACAAGGTTACTTTCACGACCTCCGAGACAAGATGATTAAACGAAATAGAAGAAAAGAAAATCAAGTAGGTACTAATTTAAAGTGATAACCTCCCTACGGCTCTATAGTTACAGTCAACAATACTGACGAACATAACCGTGAGTTCAGCTTGAAGTATTTGGTTGTGCAAAAGCATGTCATTGAGATATGGTTGTGACTTTTTTTGTTTTTTTTTAAAATTCAGAATTCACAGGACGACTACCCCAATTGTGATTAGTCCGAGCAAATGCTTTGATGTTGTACCTCGATTTCAATAAACATTATTCATTCAAACAGCTTACTCTTTTACGTACATGGGAAACTGTTGAAGTGTTGAGAATGTGTGTTTGAGTTTCAGTGAACTATTGATTAAATGCACATTTCTTATGAATACATTATAACCTGTTCGTTCTTTTTCAGATAATTTCAAATAACAATGGTATTAGCAATTGCATTGGATATGCATAACAATCGATGCTTCACCTTGTGCTCTACTGTTGTACAATAATACGCTTTTCTTTTTCAATAAAATTTTTGAAATATTTACCACTTTTCCACTGCATTGCAGATATATTTTGGCCTGTTGTTGAAAATAAAGGCGAACATAGGATACCTTTGGGGTTCTGTCGATGGATAGAAAATAGTAGGTAATGTGTGTATTTAGGCGAAAAGTAGACAATTAAGCGCATAAGTAGGCAATTCGGCGGATATTTAGGCGAAAATGCGAAAATTCAGCGGATATTTAGGCGAAAATGCGACAATTCAGCGGATATTTAGGCGAAAATGCGAAAATTCAGCGGGTATTTAGGCGAAAATGCGAAAATTCAGCGGGTATTTAGGCGAAAATGCGAAAATTCAGCGGATATTTAGGCGAAAATGCGACAATTTAGCGGATATTTAGGCGAAAATGCGACAATTTAGCGGATATTTAGGCGAAAATGCGACAATTCAGCGGATATTTAGGCGATAAGTCCGTAATTTGTCGACAAAAAGGCGAAAAAGGGGAAAATCCGCATTATTTCCCCCGAACAGGCGAAAAAGGCGACATTCTGGCGCGTTTTCCCCTATATTTCCCCTTTCGCTACCATAGCATTTACCCCTTTATTTCCCCCTTTTTCCCCTTTATTTCCCCTTTTTGTGTTGTTTGGGTATGGGATTATGTGTGGTTATAAAATAAAATACAGTGCTAGAAACAGTATTGTGATATACAATTTTTTCTCTTTTTTTATCAAAGCAATTGGAGCTCTTTCCATTTTTTTGTGTTATTATTTTTTTCAGGTATCATAGGGTCTTGAGTAGGCTTCGTATATCAGCGAATTGTCTAGTTTGTAGAATTATGGTCTACTATGATATTAGTACTGCTCTAATAATAGACCTAATCCTAAAATTGTAGATTTGTCATGATATAACTGCCTAATCTATAAGATCTTACGTGGAAGTCACATCATCGTCTACACCAACTCACTGCATCGTAACAACTACCAATACATGATGAAGAACAAGCTTAGGCTAGAGAAAGAACAATATATTTAATAGGAATAAAAGATATAAGGTAATATTCAGCAGAGACCACGCCTGCATGGTCGAGTCATGCCACTCGACGAACTCCAATTCATTCAATTCATTCTTCGCGCCTTCTCCATTGTTAGGTATTTCTCCGCGTTAAATATTGAATATCTATTTTCTGAGTAGTCTTGTGTTCAGCTTTGAAGATTGTGTGGTTATGGTCCAATGCCACTACAAGTTTGCTTGTAATAGGATTACTGGGTAGGAAGTGAAACCAATTCAACGTTCGTAACACGATTTAAAGAGGTACTTTGCGTGATAAATCAGCTTCAATACCATAAGTTCGTGACATCCCACTAAACCATAAGGAGCCGTAATTAAACAAAATGTATGAGTCATATATGCATAGTGAAGATAAAATGGGTCTGAGAAGTTAATTTAAGTGTAACACAAGTTATTGTATTAATTACAAACTTTGTAATCTTAAGAATATTTATTTAGAGGGAGAGGAGAGAGAAAAGAAGTGAACACCTAGTGAAAAGTTTCATCCATGATAAGAATAATAATTGCGTAATGAATATCAACCTCAGAAGGAAACCAACAATTTAGAAAAATAAAATAAAAATCCTTTAATGAACTCGGATAAATACCATGTAGATTTATGCAATAGTATACAGTGTGAAACCGGATATTAGTATAAACATATGTGCAATAATAATTAAGAATGATGCAATGAAAGTCAAAATTAATTTCAAAGGACAGTCAGGAATTAAATATGTTAAGAAGGATAAGAAGATATAAAAGGAGTATCTAATGTGTCGGGGGAACAATAATGATATTAATAACAGTAATAATTATAGATACGAACATAAGCAGGCTTCATATATTAAGATAAATAGAAATAAAATAAAACAGACGTGAAAAGATTTAAAGGTTTCATTTTGCTTTTCAGGTAATTAAATAGATGACTGACCTTGTTCGTATAAATCATTGTTGAATACATTGATATTCAATAGGTGAAATAATCCACTTTCGGAAAGAAAATCATCATCATTCAATATCGATAATAGGAAATATAACGCCTATACAAAATGAGGAAGTGAATGAATGCTTGAACGATACTGTTTTGGCATGTGCTTAGTTATTTGAGGTTAACTCTTAACCAACCAAAACTATAGATAAGTCGCAATCCAAACTATTTAATAGGCTTTTGTATTATATCCAACTTGGAAGAGGACTCGAAGAACTTAAAGGGTCACAACTATTCTGAGTTTGACAACACCTTATAATCGAAATGTTCCAACCTGGTTAAGTCAAAAGTCAGAAGCGAAGAGGTTCGAAGTAATATCTGATGGGCAATCAATGGTCAATCGAAGTTGACCGATGGTTGTAGTACATATGTAGCACGGCGTGTCCACTCGTGATCTGGTGCAAATGCGGTACCGAGCTACTACAGCATCATGAGGTTCTTCCGTTCACTGGATTGCGGACAAACCGAAATCCCTTGTGATGCGGATAAAATCGCTGCATTTAGTTGAGATTGGAGTCATTTGAAGTTTCAGCACTGTCCAGAATTAAACGGTGAATTTAGAGCACCTGGAGCACCAATCATCATAGTTATAAATATAGGAGGCTTTATTTATCAGGAATAGGACTAAATAATACTGTGGTGGACCAGACGAAACGCAAAAAGTAGTTCGGATTGTTTGTCTTGAAGTTGCACGGTTTAGTGCAACGGCGTGCTTTCTCACCATAATTCCAATGATACCAACAAATTCCGGCTGCCCGTTTGGGTGACCTAAGACGATGTCTGGATACCGATCTCTTTCTGGACGTAGATCTGGCAGGTCGAGAATGAAAGGCGACTATAGTTGCCTGCAGCAATGCTAACTGCTGTTGTGGTGTGTGCTACTTATATTGATATGAGTAGTATATGTCGCGAGTTAAAACGTAATATCTGGCAGCAGAAGATGAGGTGAAGATCAAGGAAGTAAGAGCGACAGCACAATGGATTTTGTAAGAAAACGCATGTACAATGGAATGGGAGACAATGCATTAGTGTTTGCAACGGAAACAGTCCAGCTTGATATGATGCATTGATATTTTGCAAATTGACGATTGACTTTATGGTATTCAGATTTCATTGAGATAGTCTGTAATTTTTGTGCTAAATACATTCGATTGTCCCCACTCGTGTTCTGTTCACTACACTGTGTTAACTGTGTTATTAGTTGCTGGATGTTGAGTGCGTCGCTCATGTTTTCTCTACTTAAGGATTGTATCGTGTTAACGCCACGACTATCGGGATATATTTCTATCATTTTATCGTCCATGTCTGCTAAATCTTCAAGTCTGACAGAGGCTCCTGATATGCTGAGGATTTGTCTGACCTTATGTGGAAACCTTTGAACCACATCTGCCCAAGTAATGCTTCGTCTAACTTGTATGAGCCTGCTAGGTGTCTCATATGTCTAAGCAACTGTGAAGGTCTTTTGTCACCTAACTCGCATGCGGTTAGCAGTTGCTGTAAGCTTTATTCGTTAAACTGCGATGTACGGTGGATTACTGCGGCTTTTATTTTGTCATAGGGGTCCGTTTCTGGTACATTATCTATCAGGTCTCCGACTTCTGCTGCCACTTCTGTGGGTAATACTCCAACGACGTAGGCATTTTTTGTCGCTTGCGAGCGTATAACTCTCGCCAAAGATAGTACATCAACCTGTGCAAACCAGATTCTGGGATTATTAACACCGTACGTTGGTAATCTTAACTCTGAAATAGCGTTGATCGAGCTTAAAGCATTATCTTCTGGTTGTGAAGAGTTTAGCGGATTGGTCGGTGGACTATCTATATCAATGAGTTTGCCCGGAGAGTTCATAGTGGGAAAAATAAAAATGGAGTCGTGTCAAGTAATAATAATAAGAAAATATATGCAGATATATATTGTAAATGTCTATAACAAGTTCGAGGCTCACCAAATAATTGTGGCTGACCAGACGATATATAAACGCAAAACGTATCAACAAAGTTAATAAAGATCAATAGAAATGTTGATATATATAAGTTAATTATTACAAATACAATAGAAAGTTGGGACTCTACTTTAGTTCACCAAAGTGATGCGTGTTCGGCTTCGGTCTAGTACTAAGAAACCACAATTATAAATGCTTGGTAATTCCAACCAGTGATATAATCCAACGTAGGATGTGACATATTCCAATTACAGCCTATAAATGTAGATAGTTTTTGATTAAGACTTCAGTTAACTCAATCACAAACGAGGATAGAACGAAGAATGTGTGAGAAGTAGTGTATTTGTTAGCCAGCAAGAGTATGTCACGCTATGTG